ANNANNNNAANCNTTAAATCATATTTAAAGATATAAATAATAATTGGATAATAAATCTTGAGAATCTTTCTCAAGACTTTATTATTATATCATTTTCCCAATATTATAATAATCATATTATTATTATTTTGGATTTTGAAATTTAAAATCCTATTTTAAAATTCAACTTTATTAATTTAGTAATTACCTTAATAACTAAAGTAATATCCAAAATGTAATTAATCAATCTTATTGATTAATATATTCCTTTAATTGATATCTAATCAAATTAGATATTTATCAATTAATTCTAACCATTAGAAATACAATCTTTACCTTTGTTCATAATTAGTGTGACCTTTTAGGTTCACCTTAATACTAGTAGTGGGTTTACAACACTTTGTAATTTGAGTTAAATCTTATTAACTCTTATTCATGAATTAACCCTTTAATTTATGAACCCACATATCATGGTAACACCTAGCAAGTAGCATGAATCTAGTATTAAGTGAATAGCGAGTAAACCTATTCCGATTACAACTCCATACATGTAAAATCCTTTCGACATCTAATTTCCCGATTAAGTCTTGGGTATGATTTTGTCGAAACCCAAATTGACTTAATAACTATGATTCTATTTCATGTTTATTAACCCGTTATGAATCACTATTCATCTCTGCCTTGGCCAAGGACTTTGGATTAATAACTATGAAACACATAGGAAATTCACTTATCTTCATAAGTGTCGAATCCTTTATTGGCCACTAACAAACTTCCATACATATCAACATAATACCCAACTTATCCCTTTAAACGATAGTGCTAGCTACCAAAAGGATAAATCAAAGTAGAATGTAATATGCACAAAGTTACCATTGTGCCTCAAGTCTTAGGATTAGTCATGTACTATTGTAACATGAAAATTCTTATTCGACTGAATAAATTCTTCATTAAGAATTTTCATACGGTCATGTTCAGTGAACTTGTTCTCTTACAAGCACCCACATAAATGTACTTACGTCTTACGCTAATGTTGATGGAATGCAACATTCTTGTCCAACAAGCATACAAACTATGTGCAAGTCTTTTATGGATTATTCGATATCCCATCTCGAAACATCCATCGACTTGGAACTGTATTTAAGATCACGGCTTTCAAGGTATGTTCCATGATCACCATCTCTATGCGCAACCATACCTTATAACCATAAGTGATCTAGGGATTTTATCTTAAGTGCAATTATAAGATAAATGCTTTCTCTTAAGATAAAGAAATGCCTTATTCATAATATAATTCCAATAGACTGTATTTACAAGTAGAATACGTCCAATTAGATTGGAACGCCGGGTACCCTACTCTAACAATAACAACCTAAGGACAGAGGCTTCAAGGCTGCAAATTTTCGAATATAAAGGCACCAAGAAGTATGGATTTAAGGCAAAAAGCACCAAGCACTTCGAGGCATTTTTAAAGGCATTTTTCAAAATGTTTTCAAAATCCTTTTTCAAAACAAAATTCAGAGAATGCTCAACAAGGAGAGTCCAACATAAAAAATTATCACACAAATCTCTTGGATTTACTCAATACCATAGTTCTGAAAACCGGATCAGACTAACCGGTCCGACCAGTTCAACTGAGAACCAGTCAATACACCAGTCCGGTTTGAAGCATGAAACTACTGGGGTCCAAAACTGGATTAAAACCGCTCGAACCGTCCGATCAAGCGGTCCTGTGCTGTTTGAATTGTTGCAGATGTGGAATCAGTTAAATAGTTAAACTTTTTTGTTTGTAATTCCGACGTGGGATGTGGGATCTGTCACAATGAATGGTTACTGAATTATTGGGTTATTGCCTTAGTGGGCCTTAATGTCATCTGCATAATTTAAAAAATTATTTTCAATTTTATGGTGACATTAGCTAGCACCTGATACGCTGTCAGAATATCTCCCATTGCCTTATTGGGACTTAATGTCATCTAAATTGTTTAAAAATGGTTAGTAAATTTATGTGACACTAGCAAGTAGCAAGTAGCACCTGATTCGCTTTGAAAGTCTCTTCCATTATAAATTTATAATCACATTTATATTTTATGAAAATAATATTACTTATAAATATTATGACATTTAGACTATGCACTATTCTTTATTTACTTTTTCTTTATTAATTAATGATAAAAATACATACAATTATATGTTATACATAAAAATAAGTAAAAATATATATTAATTAAACCGGTTCGACCACTAGTCCGACCAGTGAACCATTGAACCGATAGCTTCACCGATTTGATGACCGATTCGGTTTTCAAAACATTGCTCAATACACAAGAGATCTAAACTTTAACGAACCTTAAGCATTCTTATTCCTCAAATTTAATTTAGAACAAAATGAAGGGGGTATGGATCTATATCTACTTCGGGAATCTACTAGCTAATGTTGAATGGTGCTAGGATCTAAGGCCTCAGATGCTCGTGGACTCGGCCTCGGCTCACGGCTGCAGTGCTCTCAGTCTTGGCGTCTCGCGGACAAGAGATGGCCTCGGCGTGTATCTCCTCAGACCGATGTGGAGGCGAGTGGACAGGGGCTGCTACTCCACGGTGAGGTGCGCACGGCTTCAGGTCCTCGGAGATTTCTGAAGGTCTCTTGCTGCTGCAGATGGGAACGAAAAGAGGAGAAAGACCTGCTCCAAAAATGCCTTGGGGAGGGGATAAGTGAGGCAAATAATGAGAGATCTTTTTTGCCTTGATTAGAGGGGATAAGGGAGTGTGATTTGGGGGAATTAAAGGGGTGATTGGGATCTGATTTGGTGCTGATGGGTAAGCTCAAATCCTACCATAAATGACCAAAGGTTTGAAATTTTGAACTTCAAAATAAGGGAGCCAAAAATCCAAAACATTAGGGGCGGTTTTAGACTCCTTAAAGGGCCGGGTCTTGCATATTTGGGCAGAGTTCAAGAGCTATAAGGGCCGGAGAAAAGAGCATAAGGGGTCGGGCATTGTGGCTCTTAAGGGCCGAGCTAGAGGGCCGAAAACAAAAGGGCTTGATTGAAGATTCGAAGACGCACGAAATTTCTAATAGAATCCGAACTACCGAGACTTAGAATAATTTAAGTAGAATAAGACATCCACCTAAAATATTTAACTTAAAGATTTAAATAGACGAGGTCATCTAATTAATTTTAAAGAACTTAATAACTTGTCAATCTTAGAAAAATAAATGCAATACAATGCATAAAATTAAATAAAAATGAGATGTCTCTTATTAATAGAATGGGGCACTACAAACTGCCCAAACAGATGAATTTCCCTATAAAAGGAGGACTGAGGTACCACTGAAAACTCTCTATATTCAACAAATTTTCCATACATTCTATACAACTCTCTTGATACAAAGCTTATCGCCTTCTCCTGTACTAACTTGATCGTCAGAGTGTTCACACTAAGAGTCCCTTTCGATCCTTTGGTTGCATGTTCTCAACTGTTTTCGTATAATTGGAGCTTTACAACAATCGGTTAACCCCAGATCTAAGTAGCAGACACATCAATGCAATATACCAAAAGATTTATATTACATTATATTTTTGGTTAATAGTAGGTATATATAATAAATATTTTATTTATAATTTTAAAATGAAAAAAAAAAATAGATGAATAATAATTAATAGATAAAACGGAAAACGCCGACCTCCATTATCGCACCCAACTAGTGCTGCTACGTATCTTTGGAGCTTGTGATCTGTAAGGCGATTGCTGCTTCTTTTACTGAAATGGGATTCCTCTCAAACGTCACAAATCTACTTGCCCTCGCCGCATCGAAATCAAAATTCAAACGAAAATCCAAATCCAAATCCAAATTCAAATCCTTGATAAAGAGATCGAGAAGGGGAACTAGGGTTTTCAAACGGGACTCCACGGCGAATCACTCTTCTTCAGCAGGCAGATGCAAGGGATTATTGATAAGGATTGACTCTCCTGTTTCTCACGCTGCCGCTAATTCAAACGAAAATCTGATGCTTATGGTAAGGCATGTGGTCGACGGAACCATCTGTTACCTACTCTGTTATCTCAGCCAATAACAACTCCATCAAATTAGTAAAAGATGACAATCTTCGAGCTAACTTGTCTCTTCTCACAGATGGAAACTACAATCCCATTATTGGCACAGCCGATTATTATATTGTAGCGAGTTGCAACAGATGGATGTTGGTGACGTGCCATGAAAACCCTTCAAGGCCATATGGGCTTCTGTGGAACCCTGCAATCTATGAGCGCGAATCTTTTGCTTTCTCTTCCGGACCTGTTTATAAAGAGCTACCGGATCAAAGATTTAGGGATGTTCTCCTGTGGGCTTTTGGCGTCGGGTTTGATTCTGCATCTGGAGACTATAAAGTGGTGAGATCTTGCGTGTACGATGATCTAACCGAATGCGTCTTTGCTGAGGTGATGTCGATTAGAACTGGTTTGTGGAGGACAATCACTTATCCTCATGATCCCAGCATCTTCCTCTTTTCAGGCTCTTCTATTTACATTAATGGCTTTTATTATTGGATGGCTTACGGTCCCGGTGTTGATGGCGTTGTTGTTTCATTCGACTTTGCTAAGGAGGAGTTTGGCCGTGCTCTTATCCCTTTGCCCAAGAGATGGAGTGTTGCTATTGCCGACTGTCATGGGTCGCTTGCTGCTGTTAGTTATGATTTTGAGCGAGTTTCTGGTGAAATTGAGAAGCCTTTCGGTTTCAAGATTTGGATATGGTATGCCATTGGGCTTAGCTGGTCCTGTTTGTCCACTGTCGACATCCCTGCTGTTGATGTTGCAGTTTCTGCTCCTCTTGTTCATGCACTGGGCCTCTACAAAAATGAGATTCTGCTTGCTAAGAATTCCGAAAGTGAGTTGCTTCTTTACAATTTGCCGAGCAGAATGTTTTTGGATTTAGGTATCCATCATGATAAAGGGCCAGGGAGCATGACGATTATCCCTTTCGTTGGGAAAATATGACGATAAATTAGAACGAGTTCATAGGGCGTATGGTTAAGTGAAGGGCATCATTTTTTCGTTTCGGTGCTCCACCTCTCCTCCACCGTAACTTCTTCATCACAGCTCTTCCACTGCACAAATTCTCTTAGATTTTCTTCAGTTTTGAAGCAAAGAATTACGATTTTTTTGGCCTGTTTGTTGAGCATTGAGAATAAGACTTATCTTACCCGTATTTGTAAGTTTATCTAATTGGTTTCTCTTGGCTCTGTTTTATTTTACGTTGATCTTAGAAATTGTGAGTCGAGGGGAAGGTTCTCTAGGCAGAACCTCGTTTTTGGTTAATTGGTTTAGATAGGATAATTTGGGTTCACTATGGTTGAAGCTTATATTAATAATTTTTGTGTGGTTGCAGCAAGGTAACCCCTACAGATTTTCAAGTCGAACTCAAAGCTTGAGTTTAGAAATAAATTAGACTGACTTCTTAAGTAACACTCACATAATATACTCTTTTGTAGTTTTTAACCGTAGTTCTTCTGTCTTTCATCATTATTAATGTTTTTTTTTTCATCATTATTAATGTTATGACCCGTGTATCTTGTGGCATCATGTGTTGAGTCTGATAAACACTCTGAATTTGTGGCATCCTTTTTTAGAATATTTTGGTATATAATCATCTGTAGAAGTATTAAGTTTTGTAAAATTTTGGTTCTTCACAAAACAATGTAGTGTTTGTCACAAATTCATTAAGGTTCAACGAGGGGAAGGGAGGGGAGAGATTTTAATGGAAGGGAAGTGAGGGGAGGAGAAGTGATTTAAAATAATTTACTTTGTTTGGAGGGATTTTATATAAAAGAAGGGGAAGGAAAAATGGTAAACCTTGTTTGGTTTAAAAAGTAAGGGGAGGAAAATTGAAAAAATAAAATTACACAGACAAATATACCATTCTTTATTATATAATACTATGTTTGTAATAACTCAATTAACTATACTCTTGCCAATAATGATCCATTGCTATATAATTGATAGTCTTGTCAATAACCAACCACCAAAGAAAAGTAAGGACAAAAGAAGAAAACGATGCCATATTTTTTGTAAGAGTCAAATCGAATAATTTTTTCTTTGCAACCGTATCATAAATCAATGAAACATTGCAAATCATATTTCATTAGTTACAGTTTGTAATATATAAGTAAAAAATATCATGCATGAACACAACAAAAGTATAATAAAATCCTACAAAACATCCATACTGCCATAATTGCATTAACATACACAAAATAATATTCCTTCATCACTCAAGCTATTTTACTCCAGTAGTTCTAACAAAACATACAAAAGCAATAGTTTCTTTCCACCATAATGACGACTTAAACTTCAAATAAACTAACTTAAATTTTAAAATTCCAAAACATGTGATCCACATAACATCTTTTTCATCACAATGGTGGATTGGAAGGCCAAACATCCTTCTCATGATAACATCCTTACGAGCTTCGGACGGACATTGTACAACACATCGAAGTTTGTCAATGTCACTCATAAAAAAACAGTAGATGTCCGTCAACGAATTATTATCAAACCCACATTCCTTGAGTAAAGTCTATGTTTCTTCACCAGAAATTGAGGGAAGTTTATGGTAGTACATGTCTTTGAATATCTCATTTCCTTCTCGTAGTGCAGTAGCGACGTTATCTATTGATCCTTTAATAATCTCAAACTCTGACGCTTTATCCTTCATTGTATCTTCTTTTTTTCTTTTCTTACTAGTTGATCCACTGTTTGCTCCCATAGAAGATGTTGAGTAGAGAAACTGAATATATCATTATCCACGTCAATAGAATCACCAATATTCTCCAAGATAGCCTCATTTTGAGATACAAGGTTATCAACCTCATCAGTTGTTGTGGTAAATATATCCTAAGTAGATGAAGCACGCCTCTTTCTCATTTCAAATGCGGTCTCTGCATTCTCACCAGTTGCTCTATCATATCCATATAAAAGCACCATTCTCTAATAATTTAGAAATAGGATAAATCTCAATGTTGCTGCCTCTGGTTTTACCTGCATAGTAAAAAGTCATAAAGAATATGATATATAATTGAATAACAAGCTGACAGTCATGATAATAAGAATGATATAAATGAAACATTAATTATTACAACCTCAGTCAAAGCATCCCATACTCGTGGTCCGCATCCCATAATTTTGTAGTTCGATTTTAAGCAAACCCGCTCATTCGACTTCTAAAAATATCATAGACTTTTGAAAAAATTTCTTCAAAGTTTTCCATCGATTTTTCACTTTCTCCTTATTAATTTTTTTTTTTGTCAAACAAGGCACTAAGCTCTTTCACTATGTTCTCATATGCAGTACTAGTAAAAGTACCATTAACTTTATTACCACAATTATGTTCAGTAACAAAAGCATTAACGAGAGCATCATCCATATTTCTTGTCCAAGTTAAGTTCTCTTTCCTAGAGATAGTTGGGCATGAAGACTTCCTGGGACTCATTTCTACAAAGTTTAAAACAAATGAGACATATATATTAGAATTTCAACCAAAAACATAAATGGCAATAATTCAACCTCAAAAGATAACAATTTATAACTCCAAACGCGTCATATAAATAAAACCAATCAAGTGCAAACAAACAAATGATAAAGACAATGCATTGAAATCAACTAATGAAACAAAGCCACTGAAATTGTGCAAACTGTACATTATGAGTGATCAAGTTCATAATCTAACCACTTCTCATGTGCTATACAATCCCTTATAAACTCTCCCCGAACAACCTCTTTGCTATCAGATCCAAGAAAATAACTATCCTCTTCAATTGGATATTGTCTTCATCTACCTCAGCAATAAGTTCTTCCTTAGGGTTCACACTCATTAAATAATTATGAAGAATGCAACATGCACAAATAATGAGTTTCTGCACTTTCACTCCAAAATTAGGTTCTGTACCCGAAGATAATATTTTGAAACCCTTTTTCAGTACACCAAAGGATCTTTCAATTGCATTACGTAAGGATGCATGACGAAGATTGAACAATCCTGAAAAGTTCGTGGTGGATTTTTTGCCGAATATTCTTTCAAATGTTAGCGAACTCCTCTATAAGATGTAATTAGTCCACTCGTTAACATGAAGTCAACATCCACAAGATCATATTTTCCTATAATTCTAACAAAATATTATAATTCTTAAGATGAGAAATTGTTGTGTCATAATAGATAAAGATTTATGAAATATATTTTGACATTACAACTCGAATTACCTTCAGGGATTTTTAGCCTATCTTCTCTTCTTAAGGCATTTTTTTTATAATTCTTGAATCAGAGGTAGTGTCTTCCCATTTAGGAAGCACATATGTGAATTTTAAATTGAATGTACAAGCTGCTAACACATTTTGTGTTAGAAATTCCTTTCTCATACGATAACAAAGAGCATCTATTTGAGATACCATTGAACGTATATGAGTTACATCAATATCTCCTACACAATCCTAATATTTTATGTTAGTATTAATTAATATAGAAAAAAATAAAGTTTACTAAAGTTATTCATTAATGACAAATAATTACCTTAAAATAAGGGTAGAACCTACAACTGTTATGAATTTCGGTTGCCACGGTTTAGCCATCAGGTTGTACAAGTAGTTCATCTTCACACTCAATTATAGACCTTAATACTTGATGGAAATGTCGACTAATCGTTTCACCAGAACGTCAAAACCAAAAGTTTACCTTACGATATTTTGCTTTATGTGTTAATATATATAATGTTTTACCAACTTGTCCTTCCACGCTTGACCATCACATAGGTTTTAGCCCATCCTCTCTTTCTAACATAGCACATAAGCTCATGAAAGCTCTTGGACTCATTCTAGTAATATTTTCACTATATTTAGTAGTAGTAGTCCTGTAAAGTATTTCCTGGCGTGTCTTTTCTCTTTTTGAACTCATGCTATAAGTAACTTTTTTATAGAGGGCGCCTTAATGCAACAATAAAAGGCAATTATGCATATTAGGTGGGCCAAAATTCTTCGGCGAACCATCTTTCTTCAACGTTATCCATGCTTAATGCAACCACATAAAGAAAAAGTTAGCATTAAAGAAGGTGTTATATTTTAGGAAAAATTACACTTTGCTTGCCGAACTATTCGCGTTTTTACACTTTGCCCACTCAACTTTTTCCGGTGACACTTTACCCCTTGAACTTCAAATACTTTTGCACTTAACGACTTCCGGCCACCGGAGATGCAAAATCAAGGGCAAAGTGTAAAAACGCGAATAGTTCGGTAGGCAAAGTGTACTTGTGAAGACTAATTTGAGGTGTCTCCTAAGGTGTAAATGACGATTTTGCCCTTGATTTTGCATCTCCGGTGGCCGGAAGTCGTTAAGCGCAAGAATATTTGAAGTTCAAGGGGTAAAGTGTCACCGGAAAAAGTTGAGTGGGCAAAGTGTAAAAACGTGAATAGTTCGGTAGGCAAAATGCAATTTTTCCTATTTTTTAAACACATACTAGACAACATAAAACAAAATAATGACAAGAAGACAAGATGTGATATTCTGTATATAAGCTTCATGCAACACTACATCAAGACACATAAAATAGCATTGGTTACTGAAAGAATAAATCAAAGGAGACAAGCACTCCGGTCCAAGCCTACAAAACTTAAACATTATTGCAAAGTGTGGAATTTTTTCAGACTAGTGCAATTATCTTCGATTTTTAATTTTCATATTTTAGGAATCCTTATATCTATATTACATGCAACCTAAAATTATAACTCAAGCTCCTCTCTCCCAAAGAACCCTAACCCCCAAATCGCGCAGCTCGTCCATTCAGCTTCCTCTCTCGGATTTTCCGGCCTTCCTTGGTGACGATTAGTCACCGGCCAGTGGTCATCTTGACCTCTCGGCCCGACCTTGGTTCGCGAATCTCAGGGGTCCGTGCAAGGGTTGCGATTGGTGGCCTTTCCTCCGTCGCCGGCGAGTATGTGTCGGGTGGTGGCGC